CTTCTTTTCTTTCTTTTCTTTTTTTTATTCTCTGTTTCAGGTGCTGCTGCTGGGTGCCATCGTACCGGGATCGTCGCATTTTTTTTTTTTATTTTTTTCCCTTCTTTTCTTTCTTTTCTTTTTTTTATTCTCTGTTCCAGGTGCTGCTGCTGCTGCTGGATCTTCCCGCAACCGAAGGTAAGATACCGTTTTATTCCTCCTCCATAATCAGTTGTGGAGGGCGCTACTTCCGTCTTCTGCGGGCACAGCTGTTTTTAGGAGTATCAAAAACGGCATGGAGAAGTGACAGGTGGAGATGCATCGGCGTTGGTGAGTGTATTTTTTTGTTTCCTCTTCCCCTTTCCCTCTTCCTCTTTCCTCTCCCTTTTCCTCTTCCCTCTCCCTTTTCTTCTTCCCTTCCCCGTGGATTAGGGCTCTTGGCGACACCACGTTAAAAAAAACGCGCCCTAAGCTCTACCTCCAGGAGCAGCACCGTATCCTCTACCTGATCGGGCTCTCCTAAGGTGGTGTGGAAACGAGCTAGTCAAAATATGTTCCTCCATTCCTCCTCTGAGTAAGTAAAATCAAAACCTGAGAATCTTTTCATCAAGTGCTTTTTTATCTTTTTTATAGGAAGAGCATAAATTCAAAACCTGGTAAGTGCCACCAGCTGTTGCTACGATTGAGCACCAGTTTCTATAAGGTCAAAATTCATAGAACGGGTCGAAATTCGTCGGTTTCATTCCGGTCGGGGATTCATAGGTCAAAATTCTAAAATTTAATTAAGGGAAGCATTCAGGTCCTTTTACGCTACGGAGCAAGATGTACAATTATAGCAATACCGGATGAAACTTTCCAGATTTTGAATTTCCACTCTTCACGTATCAATGGCTAAAGGCGAAAAAGTAAAACCTCAATTGTAACGCTTAAGGTGATTCGACGGTTGTCATTTTTTGTGTCAGATCAACGTGCGATACATCGCATCAATTCGTTCCATAATTTCAGCTACTTGTCATTCGTTTCGAATTTTGAAATCGCACTTCTATTGTCATGAGACTAAAGAATTCATGTATCTAATTTCACAAAGAAATTCAACTTCACAAAGGCGCGGTATTTTTAGAGGAAAAATATCGCATTCGAGTGCAATTTCGATATCAGTATCGAATGCTATATTTTTCTTTAGAATTCTTTAGTCTCATGATGACAACAGCAGTGCGATCTCAAAATTCGATCTCAAAAAACGGTCGTTGGTTTTTCGGTGATAAAATATTTTGTCAACAAAACTCTGAAAAAATCTAGGATGGAGCTACGGCGTTTTAGCTGAGGACAGCAGAACAGCCTTCGTAGTTCCGTTCTGCTGAAGTAGGTTTGAGTGATAAAAACGTGAGCCAAATATGCGTAATTTTTTTACAATTTTATTTTTCAGGTGCGAATGCATTTCAGGACTCAGTCCCATCATTAGAGATTACCTAAAGATACATGGCTAAGTTACATATTAGAAAAATATACTACCCAGAAATCTGTGCGTTTTAATTTGTGTCTTGTATTTGTATCTTGTTTTAATTATGCTGCAATTTATACTAATATCCTGTTTTGCTGTACCTCCAGTTTCTCTTGTTTTGTGATTATATTTTTTCTAACATGTAACTTGGCAATGTATCTTGGTAATGCTCTGATGATGGGATTGAGTCCTGAAATGCATTAGCATCTGAAAAATAAAATTGTAAATAAATTATGCATCTTTGGCTCACATTTTATCACTCATAATGGAGATGCATCATGTGTGAGGGATTTGCGATTTGACCATTGATTCTTATGTAAAAGTTCGCGACAAACACGATGGTGCCACTGGTTTTCTCTGAAATCAACTTCCAAGCTCAAAAAAAGCTCTCAAAGTGAGGCCAAAATGGAGGGGATATCCCACCCTACCCTGAGAGTCCACCTCTGCATCAAGACAAACTCTCTATGCAAAGATAGGGAGAAAATACATTGGCAGGGTTGCCACTTTATTTGGGGACTCCAAAACTGACAACAGGGCAATCACTGCTAATGTATTTGCTCCCTATCTTTGCATAGAGAGTTTGTTTTGATGTAGAGGTGGACTTTCAGGATAGCGTAGGATATCCCCTCCATTTTGGCCTCACTTTGAGAGCTTTTTTGAGCTTGAGGGATGATTTCAGAGAAACCAGTGGCACCATCGTGTTTCTCGCGAACTTTTACAAAAGAATCAATGGTCAAATCGCAAATCCCTCACACATGCAACATCTCCATTCTATATGGATGCGACATGCGGCTCAACAACTTTTCAAATTTAAAGTAAGTTTCCTCAATACTATGAACTCACGATTTGTAATGAAGGCGTCGTCATGGATTTGTAGAGATGTCGCAAGGACACCGGAAGACTGACGACTCCGTAGGAATGACAGTTGAAGTGAAGGGAGATGACCGGCTTTATGTGTTCTTGATTCACCACGAATATCAGAGAACGGATAGCCGTGTCCTCGTCCAAAGCTTTCACCGTGAAATGTTGTTTATGCTTCTGACCGTTCTCAAAGATTTCCAAAACCACTGAAAGAATCATTCATATCACTAGTCTTGATCATAGTTATGTCGCAGGAAATTAGTAAAATCAGACATTTGATAAAATGCCTGAGAGGAAAGTCTTTGGACAGTTCATGAAATTTTGTTAAATTGCGGCGGAGTTCACGAGTTTGCAATGTTTAATCTACGAACTCTCCTTGTTCCTTCCTCTTTACAATACTGCTCGTATATTTAAACGTTGAAATCGCAGAAATTCATGGGTTTTATGACATGCCACAAATTTTAAGGTAAATGTCCGTTCAAGGTCAAAAAATTGTTCAATATACTATTCAATGATACACATTTTTACGGAGACTGCTTTTTTACATGAGGAAATAACGAACTCATATAATTAATATATCAATATAAATATCGACGGAGTAAGTCCGCAATCACATATCTCGTTTGTGATGTCTACAAATCTCCTTCTCTATGTTATTTTTTTAAAGGAGAACAAATTGACATCATTCCTTAAAGTTAATGCAGAATTTTCTTCGCACAGAGAAGAAAAATTACGGCAGTTTTAAAGAAATGCCATAAGAAAAATTACGGCAGTTTTAAAGAAATGCCGTTGAGTAGTTTTCCGTTTAAAAAAGAAAGTATGACAGGAAGTCTGTGACGTCGCAAACCGAGTTATGTGATTGCCGACTTACACCGTCGATATATTATATGATTATTTTATTAATAATGGATTATTTTTTAATGAATTATATTGTTAGACTAGGAAAAGAATCAGAATTGCAATCCTTTATATTTGACTATTTGCCCAGGCATTTGACAGAATGCCCTACATTACTGTTTGCCTGCGACAGTTTCACTATTTCGTCCAACAAAAAGAAAAGAAAAAAATACATGAATCAAATATCGTCTCCATTGATGACATCATGCTCGGAAAATTTATTGCCTTGTGCTGCTCAGTAAAAATACGCCCTCCATCCATTGATGGGCATTTAAGGACTCCGACAGAATGAAATAAAATCAACCTGTGTGGCGATTAAAGATAGGAACGAGCTTGGCGTTAAATATTTATGAATGGTATTACTATGTTTTTATTGACGGCGCTAAACTGCATTTCATTGGTCACGGCATGGAAATATGTACCACGCAAATGACGAGGAAAGTGTTCGTTCAAAACGAGAAAAGTAGAATCGTGACTGCAATAGAACAGCAGGAGAAAATTGGCTAATCCTCTCATGACTATGTTTAGTCTCGTTTGATTTGAGAGTACTTTTAAGGAGATCTCTACCTCTTCTCTGGCGTTTTAATGGAAAAACAGGCCCCGTTTATTATATCAGGCTTGAAAAAAACAGCGCAAATATAAGTTTCTTGGCATTAAAAGAAATGTGGGGATTAGAGTTACAAGTAAAATGATGACATAATGACAGTCAGATTTTATTTCTGATCGAATTTTGACATAGTTTTTTGGTGATGCCTGTGCCTCTGACTCGACGATTAGCTCAATTTAAACAAGTAGCACTCGTACTCTTCTCGGAGCCATCTACGAAACGCCTGCAAGTTTTCGAATAGGCAATGAGCACATTTCCGGAGCACGAATAGTTGCTTCCTTCAATCTCACGCGCTGCTGCGTATGAATGGAACCGTTCAAAGTCTCGAAAAAGCGTTTAAGATGTAAAGAGAGGGAGCATAAGGAAAGTTTTAGGGCTATAAAGTATTTACAAACTATTGACTCGAAAGTAATTTTAACAGAGCTTTTTGAGCAGACACCTGTTAATGAGACTGAAATAGATCGATATGATTTGCTATATGATTGCTACGCACATACATTAAAAGCGCTTTCGTAGCGGAAGCTATGCATATTTTTCGTTGAGATTCTCAGATTTTTTCGTTAAAATTGCGAACAAAACTGTCCGAAAAATTCGAAGAAAAGTATCCACAACTTTCCCAATAAATTCGTATTTTATCGAAGAGTACTTGACAGTGCCTGAAAGCTCTAACGGCGCTCAGCGGCGGATCTAGCAATTTGGCATCATTGGCTTTCTTCCATTCAAACTTGTGTAGAATAATCGATTTTTGTCGGAGCAGTGGCGTGGCGTGAAGGATCGATTTTCGATATTTCTCCATTTGAAGCCATAGTAAAAAATGGATTATGAAGGTGTTCGTTGCGAACACCTTCATAATCGATCCTTTTCCATAGATTTAAATGGCAGATCAATCGATGTATCGCGAAGCACGCCAGGCCACTGTGTCGGAGCCCCTGGTCTCTCCTAGAGTCCCTTTATGCTGAGAGTCAAGACAATTTGGCTCATGGATTTCACAAACGGGAATAAAGATTACAGAAATTGAACGTTTTTCGTAATCTTTGATCGGCCCATTCTCAAATGCCTTTCTCCGTTCCTTCTCTCATTCCGTTTGTTCCTTGCCTAACCCGTAATTCCCTGGTCCATTCCAGATTAGAATCTTTGCAATTGGTGAAAATGTAATCTTTATTCCCGTTTGTGACACTGTGGAGGCCTAAAATACGGGAACCAATCAGAAATGGATTCAAATTGTCTTGACTCTCAGTATAAAGGGACTCTAGTTTCTCCGAGAATCGATGTACCTATTTTCATAGGTTTAAATGGAGGAAAAACAATGTTGCCGAATCGTTGGCAGTGCCAAGAGGCGGTTTTTATTAGGACGGCAGCAGAGTCAGAGGAAGAAGAAGAGTGGGCATGGGAGTGAGTAGGCTGTACCTTGTTTGGCTCTCCGGTCCAGCTGGATCTCGAACTTATGGAACGAGCCCGGGAACTCGACCGAGAATAGAGTCTCGACATCTCCGCGGAGTCTTTTTCGCGGCTTGATGTGGTTGAAGCTAATTATCATCTCGTCGCTCTCCACCGCGGCTTCCAACACCTTGCTCGACTCTGAAAACAAACCGAAGCACACCCCATTATCCTTTGGCACCCGGTCAAACACACATATGCTTAGCAAAACAAATTGGGAACTCGCACAGTGGGCAACATACCTGTGGCTCCCGACCGACCCACAGCAGTCCAAAAGAGAGGTCGGACAAAATTTGGACTCTTTAAAAGCTTATAACTCCGTTTCTACATAATTTTGAGGTTCTATCAGTGGACCTATTGATTTCTTGGTCGAATTCTCGTTTTAAAGCACCCCTTGAAATTTAAATTGCAACGAAATTAACATCAAAATTTGCATTTTAGTCTAAAATGTCATGTTCGACCTCTCTGAACTGAAAAATTCGCCTACTGCTGCGTCTACAGCAATTGTTGTTACGGATATGTCGTGCGTACTGATTTCAAATCATTACATACTCGACTCTCTGAAGGCGTTTTATTCGCGAAAGTAGCGCAATCTGTCGGAGAACGAACGAAGTAGGGATTAATCGATTAATCCCACTTCTCTTGTTCTCCAACAGGGTGCTCTACTTTCGCACATTAAACGCCTTCGAAGAGTCAAGTATGTAATGAGCTGAGATCAGCACGCACAACATATTCGAAACAACAATTGCTGCGGACGCAGCTGAAGGCGAATTGAAAACAACCGTATAAAACTAGTTGAAAACCATTCATCTCCTTAATTAATATTGTTACCAATAGAGAGTTGTATTTTATGGTTATTTTATGGGGAATTCTGGAAAAAATTTTCATCATAAACTAAAATATGAAATAAAATTGATGCTTCACAGAAAAGTTATATAAAATAAAACAAATTACATAGCAGGTAACAAGACTAATTTTCACGTATGTATCGCCAAAACGTTTTGGCTGAAAAGTCAGTTGGATAAAAAAAAAAAAAAAACATTTGTAAAAATCTAAAAAGTAGTACTTGGCTGTACCTTTCAAAGCGAGAACAACACTGTATGCGATTTTCTCTCGGGAGAGAAAACTGTCCTCTCGGGAGAGAAAAGTATTCTCTTGGGAGAGTAAACTATTCTCTCGGGAGATAAAACTATTCCCTTGGGAGAGAAATCTATTCCCTCGGGAGAAAACTATTCCCTCGGGAGAGAAAACTTTTCTCTTGGGAGGGAAAACTATTCCCTGGAGAGAGAAAACTATTCTGACTTCTTTTTTTCCCTTCACTTATTGATATTCGTTTCCCGAATCAGAAGCCGATTAAAAGCGATATCAACGTATTCAAATCTTAAACAAGGTAAAACATGTATAAACTAATGTATTTCCAAAATCGTAAGAAAAATATGAAATGAAAAATCATGTCACTTGTTCCTTAATTTATTTCCTGGACGAAGCTTTAGAGATTTTACCCTCCACGATGAACCAAATTTTAAAAAAATTCCAGACATTTCTTATCAGTAATACGCCTGTGCAAAAATGACCGTCGGAGATGATTTTGTACCCTTTAGATGAACTCACGCTCTTACGCAAAAAGTCAAATGTATGTGTCTCCTTAAATGCCCACGAGCTTGACTAAAGTAAGTCATGGATTTAATTCAATCGATAGCATTCAAAGAATCTGTGAATTGCGTGAATCTAATTCGACACTATCAATACATCCTCTCCCCGATGTAGTGTCTTCCGACGGTCCCGGGGCCTCTTCCTCGGGACTTCCGTAAACGCCTCTATTTTATGTGTGATTTATATATCTGTAATGTAAACTTAATTAATACTTAGACTCTTTTTTATACATCTCGAACCTGGGCGATGGATATATCCTTGATATTTGCCGTCCTTTTATCGTATATCAAGTAATTAAGTTGTTATTTATATGCCTAAATATCTTTAACAATACTTATCTTATGTTATATACCTATCTTATGTAATATATGTAATATTTAAATACGATAATAAAGATAGAAGGGGAATGTCCCTGATATAAAAAAAAAAAAAAAAAAAAAAAAAAAAAAAAAACTATCAATACACGTTTCAATGGAGAATCCCTTCGGTGACGTCACCTCTCGCGTGTGCATGAGCCCACAAAAGTGAGCGTCGTTTGCATCGGTTGCGCGTCGCGACGCGTGGCGATGCTGGAAGTTTGCATGGAGTGTGAATATAAACGACGCGTCGGAGCGCCACACCACGGCCCCCCTCTGACGAAAAGACGTAGCTACATCTCCACTTGAGCCCTGTTTTACATATCAATGAACGCTCTCTGGGGCTCATGCGTAAATCGAGATACGCCTCGACGACCAGACTGCGCCACTTTCACTTGGGGTTCAGACATATGGACGTATTTCTGTCAAACGGAACTATGGGCATCATGACGTGAGCCCTGTTATGCATGTATTCTTAGGGATCTCAGGGCTCATGTCTCAATGCACATAGTTCTGTTTGGGAGAAGTACGCCCATATGGTCCAGACAAACTCGCGTTTTATGGGGTCAAACAATGGACCATATGATTAACGACCACCATATGTTCCACTCGGCCTGCAGCGCCGGACCAACGACCAACTCGCCCGCAAATTTTGCCATCCCGGTTTTCAGGAGGATGTTTTTACAAGGTGTGATTTGTTTAATGGTCCGGAACAGAAAGAAGACGGAAAAATATTATTTTAGAGAGTGAATCTTGTTTCTTGAAATTTCTAATCACACAATGTTACATTTTGAATACATTTTTCCAAACAATGCGAAGAAAGTACATTCTCTAACGGATTTGGTACCTCATGAGTAGAAATTTCGCAACTTCTGATTGTTCATGTTCATACGGCTTTTGCCTCTAATGCACGGCACATTTCGAGGGTGGAACTTGCGAAGACGTTTCAACTCCAATTGCACAGTTGAAGACTTTCTGTTCTGCCGTGTTAAGGATAAACGACGTATGAGCCATTGAATGTTGTGAAATTCCTTTTAAAAATACAAATTTCCTGAGAAACTTGTGAACATTTCCTCTCTTGTTCCTCAGAAAAATGTATTTGCGAATTTAATAAAAATTCCTGCAAATTCAAAGGAAGAATCTTGATAAATGTTTTCTAAAATAAACGTTTCAATATGAGAAATTTGGCAACGTCCGAATGCTTGCATGACGTTTTTACCTAGGACAGCGTCCTCCTTTATTTTTCATTAGAAAATCCACCTAACACTCACAAAATGTTTTTAATTTGTTCTTTGAGGAAAAAAGAGGGAAAATGCATTTCACTGGAGAAAATTCTCTCGGATCTAGAGTCCAGACTCTTAAAAAAATTGACAAGAAAATACTCTTAATTTAATTGGATTTTTGCTTGAATTGAGAGACAAGCCTCATGATTTGAGCGAACTTTCTTTTAATTCAAGCACAAATCCGATTCAATCAAGAGTATTTTTTCGGTCAAATTTTCTAAGAGTCTGGACTCTGGCTCCAGGAGATATTTTTTTCCGGCGTGAAGCTCTTTTGTCTCTTTAAAAAAAAAAAAAAGTCCGCAGAAATTACAAGACACAGCGATCTAGATACGTCGTACCATAGTTTATAGTCAAATGTGTTTTTTTGAAACTAAAGTACGAAGGTGAGCTCGATGTCCGTAAATAGGTGGAGGAATGCGCATTGTTTATATTCTTACTCGCTCGTTCAAGTCTCCGACTCCCCCGTCCCGTAGGCTCCGTTCAATTCACCGCTCGATTCACAGATTCAGTGATTCGACCCAACGGTGAATTTACTCTGTTTGCTCTTACCACGCCGTCTTTTAGAGGAACACCGCATGAGCTCTTGAAAGTTGCCGAATTTCCGTTAAAAAACTAAATTTTCTGAGAAACTTTTGAACATTATCCCTCCAATTGTTCAGAGACTTTGTTTTTCTTTGAACAAGTGGTTTTAATTTTACCAAATTTCCCCTTGAAGATTGCGGTTTTACCAGGATAATTTTCGGCATTCATAACTGAAAATTTAACTGATTTTTCTTCTGTCCTAACGCAGAAATCAGTAAAATTTTGAGGAAAAATTCCACAAGCAAATTTTTGGAAATAATTGGATCGTTTGAGTCAATTTCGCAACCTTGGAATGGAGTTACGTTCCTTCGTCGAAGAAACGACGATTTATGCACGACAACGTGCGTTGGTGCGGTGCGTGCCTGCGCAGAGTCGCGGCAAGTGCATCGACGCACAGTAGAACGAATCTGTGGAAGAAGTCGGACATGAAATATTTGACAAAAATCGTCAAATTTTACGTTTATCTCGTTACAGTTTTAATTTTAAGGAGTGCTTTGTCAAGAAAATTTTACGAGAAAACCAATAAAACTACTTATGAACCACCAAAACTTCATATCAATGAAGATTTACGCTTCTAAAGTTTTTTAATCATGTCCGACCATTCTCATTGACTCGATCCTCTGTGCGACGATGGGCGATCATGCGCGCACGCGCAGAATCGCCGACTCGGCTACTTACTCCCACGGATGCTGCCTCGAGCCCAGCCGTAACACGGAAGAGAGCCGTAAGTGCAGTTTGGGATGAGCCTCAGAACACACGGGAGCATGTGCTAACCATGGCTCATGCAGAAATGCATTTAGGGCTCTTGTCCGTAAACACGGCAGAGCCGCTCCACTGCGCTACACCTCCCAGTAAGAAAGTCTAAATTTGAAGCCTGATTCAATCGCAGGATTGATGCATTAATGCCTAACGTAGCCTTTATACTCTCCGGCACAATGGACCACTAGACAGGGTACGAATTTTATCATTCTAATACATGTTTCTGAACCAAAATTTCACGTAGAATACGATTCGCGCAACAAAAGTTATTGAAACCAACTCTTAGCGAAGATATTAACGTTTTTATTTCACATGAGTTACGAGGAATTTGAACTGGCCGCTCACAAGAAACTCAAAGCTCTACGTGAGTCAAATCGCGCACTACAACGGTTTCAGCAAGCTTCTCAATCGAACAATGTTCATTTCCCACCATGTGTTGTTCAAACTATAAGCAGTTTGCTATAGCTTGGCCAAAGCGTCAGGACTAAAGTTGCCAGATTTATGTATC